GTTGGCAGTCACAAACACAGACTTTTATCTGCAGACTAAAAAGAAGTTTCAGCTGATGTTGTTTACTGATGTGCTTGCATCACTTCCAAATGTCCAGAAATTATTGCTTTCTATACTAATTATGGATTAATTTAATCTCAATAATGTTTTTATCTTATTCATCCCTTTGCCAGACCTAAGTTGGGAACCATTACCTGATGACATTTCTAAATCAATTTTCTGTGAATAAATTTATTGTGGCCTTGGTTGCTGTCTGTACTGTGACTTGTTCATTGTATTTTCAAAAGGTTGCCTGTTTCTTCCAGTGCCTAGCATGAATGTTTTCCAAATTAATACAATTTCTATAATTATCAAGGTGTAATTTAACTTGCAGTAACAGAAAAAATAATGTCTGTAAGATGTAATTTTATACACATATAATTATTATATTTTAATGTCAACCATTATATAGAGTTCATCAATCAGTACCAAAAGAAAACATGTATTCGTAGTTACCAAGTTTATAATAGAACTTGCATTTAAAATGGTTACAGAATTGGATGTTGCTTTGACATAGCACATGATGTTAAAAATCAGTTGCATTTTTCTCTTCAAGGCATGTCAGCTATTTTGAAATTGTCAGAATTTTTGGAAGTATAATGTACTCATGGCTTATTGCTCTTTAGCTCATAATTTCTCAACACCTTGTTATAAAGAATCCTCCTTATGTGACCATACCCTGTACATGCTCCCATTCTGTATTTCTCAGACTCTTCTGTGTTGAGATGAGATGTGAAGAAATTAGTAATTTTTTCTGTGCCATTTTCTTATCCTTGATGAATTCCTTTGCTTTTTGATGATGCAGTAGAACCTACTGATTATGTCAAGCCTTCTTGTTTCTAATGTTATTCTTACAAAAAAATCTCTGTTGTTAATTCAATAAAATATCTTAGTTCTTTTAAAAGTTTTAATCATTTGCATCTAGTATGCTGCTGACATGGTATAAAATACCTCACTGAACTTTCATTTTCTGAAGGAGAATTAACTCATCTAGTGTTTGAGTTTATGATGCTGTCTTTTTTCCTCAGTTTCTTATTTTTATCCAGTAGGCCTTTGTGATCCTACATGTTTGCCTCAGTGCTGTTAAATAGTAGCAGGTAATTCTTATTATTCTCTCTTAAGTAGGTTTCTTAGTTTTGCAAAATATTGTGTTCTCATAATAGACTGGGACCTTTTAATCCCCAAGAATGTTGAAATTAATGTTGTCACTGTTGTTCATCACTTTCATATTATATAATTACTACTGGAACCAGCTACTCTGTATTACTTAGGACTTAACAGAGAATAATCCCTCATCTTGTGTGCTCTGGAATTAGCTGTTCCAAGAGCATTTGTTTAAGAAATCACTTCTCTAAGCCTTGTTGCATTTAGCAGAACATAAGATACATTGTAAATATATTTGCAATATGCTAAGAACTATGTTTGCGTGTATGTATGCACTGTGAGACATAAAAATGCCACTTATGGGATTTCATTTAGGGAGGTGAAGTAGCTGTGTCACTGTATACTAATGAAACACGATTTGCGGTGATGTATATGTAGGAATATATACAACATAATAGGAAAGCTACAAACCCCACCCACCACAGGCACCTAAGGCAAGACAGACAAACTCTTGTGAAATACCTTAATGGAAGAACGTCAAATGTCTTATTTATCTAAAAGGTCATTTGTTTCCCACTACAGCTGTGGTGGCAATAAGGCATACCTGACCCTGCCGTTGGCTCAGCCGTCCCGACCATGGTGTTGATGTTGTTTAAACTCAAGGTCGTAGGTTTAAACCCTGTATGGGCCATCCATATAAGAGCTGGACTCGATGACCCTCGTGGGTCCCTTCCAAGGCAGAATATTCTGTGCAATCCGTGACATTTCTCTTCCCTGCGATCACCGCCCGGCGCGGTGTGTGCTGCCAGCCGCGATCAGCACCTCGGACAGCGCCGCGCCCGCCCCGCCGGCTCGGCCGCGCGTCCCGGGCTGGGCGAGCGAGCGAGCGGGGATGCTCCCGGCTCCAGAGCAGCTCGGGCAGGCCTGGCCGTGCTCAGCTTCTGCATCTACCGAGAAAGAGAAACGGCAGGGACTGGTGTCCGAGTTCTGGGGTAAATGTGCAACGCATACAAGAATGCCACACTGATGGAGGGATGCTGTGCGGCCTTGCGGCTCCCAAAGCGTTGAGTGCCCGCTGTGAGTGAGTGATATGGGTGGAGACATCCAGAGGCCAAAGGAATGATGTGTGTCCGAGTGGGAACGCTAGGCAGAGCAAGGAGAGAGGAAAGAGGTTGTTACACTACACTGCTTCCTATTCCTGTCAAGAATAGATGCCAAGTGTGTAAAATTCCACTTGCACCCCTTGTGCATCAGCATAAGGTTAATAAACTATGACAATGAGTAGTTTTCCTCTTGTAATTTTCCCTCAGGCATTGCCCCATTTTAGAGATTGTAGTAAATTCTTGAAAAATCTAAAGAAAATGCTGGCTGTTTGTGTGGTGCATGTAATGTGCAGCTGTTGCCCTCATCACACTGTTGGTATGTAGTTTTTCTGAGTATGGATGTGGGTTCTTCTGTTAATTACACAAAATATGATCTGCAACTTCCAGTTAGAGACAGTGTTGTTACATATTACGTTTTCTTCCTGATTGCTGGTGTATTTTTTTTTTGTTTTTTTTTTCCTCTACCAAATACTCTCTTGTTCTAATTTCTGAGTTGCAAGTAAGACAACAAGATTAACAAATTTAGTTTCACTGAAGTTAATACTGCACATTAGTATTGATCTCAGGAGATTCAGAATTTCACTTTAAATAATCTAAGAAAAACATGTATTTGTAGAGTAGAAGAAAGTAAAGACCATAACTATAATTACTGGTTTTGTACATTCATACATAAATATATGTTATATAGGCAGTAAATAGAAAAGAAATATATTTGTAACTTATACAATAAAAATACTCCCACTTTCAAATGAGCTTTTGCAACATCAGAAGTAAAATATATCAGAGGCCTATGTCTGCTGATAATCAATCCAATTTCCAGAATGAGATTAGGCATCATTATAGACTTTTTCTCTAAGCACCTTTCCCATGGGATAGCAACACAGAACAGCCATGCAGAGTTAACATCTGATTAGAACGAATAATACATTTTGCAGTTCTAAGACAAGCTAGCTGGGAATTGTCTAGTCCATTTCTCTGGCTATGTACCCCTCCTGAAACTTACAGAGAAACTATGGCTCCCCAAGTCCCAAGGTGATCCAGCTGGTTAGGAAGCAAATAGAAGGAGAAAAAGCCACTTTTGATTTTCTGAGAGTAAGATTTGCTTTAGTTAATATACATTTTTTTCCTGCTTATGGAATAAAGTCCTTTCCTTTAATTTGTAAAATTGTATGTTTTATGGAAAGGTAAGTTTCCTTGGGTGTAAGTTTCAGGCTACATGAATTTCTCTGCAAATTTCTCTTCCATGCTGTGTTGTTTTCCTTAAACTTGTGGGACTGAAAGCTGCATCTGAGCCTGGCGTCACAAACACTGTCATTGTAAGAGCTTGAGAAAAATATTGTCTCTCAATATTTTACACTGTGAAAATATGTTAATATAAAGTTAATTGACTGGAATGCTTAAATGCATGCATTTTTAAAAAAGAATTATTTTTTCTAAAACAATGAAAGGACTTATAAAATACTAAGTTTATGTAAGAAAGATTTAAGATAAAAAACTCCCTCTAATTAAAATAAAAATAAAGTAGCACAGAAAAATGTCTCCAGTACAAACTAACTAGTTAAGAGTAAATATTTTGAGAGAGAACAGTCAGTATGAGCAATAATATAGTAAAAGAGCAAAATAAGATAAAGAAATATAGATTTAAAAATAAATCCTAATAAAATAAATACACTTGGAAAGCCAAACCTGTGCTGAAAGTAATAGGGCAAAATTTTGATTTATTTTAAATTGTCAAAGCAGACAGTTACCCAGGAGCTTTTAGAACAGAATTAAACTCTATAGCACAAAGCTGTTCACATTTATTTACCCAGCGCGGTACTCTATAGAGTGACAAAGCTGGCGGGGGGAGCACGTTTTTCTGACCAAAACTCTGGATTTGGCGAGGGGGATCTCCGGCGCTGCTGCCTCATGTGGCACGGAGAAGTCGCTTCCACGTACGTGAGGTCGGAAAGTGGTGACTTTGCCATGTGAAACGCTTTGAGAACTGAGGCTGAAAAGTTGTGTATGGGGAAATTAGGGCTTGAAGGGGAAGTAATTTTTTGTGTGCGGCGCATGACTCAGGCGGTGGGCTGAAAGGGTTAACTAATCGTCATTAAAAATTACAGTTGACATTTTCTTCTCGGATGGCAGGGAGCTGGCGTGCCGCCGGTCCCCGGCGAGAGCGGGGGGTGGCTTCCACGCACGGCTGACAAGGGGCTGGGACTCCTCCAGCCCCAGAGAGCCGGCGGCGCTGTGTGGGGGGAAAGGCAAGGGACGGACATGTTCCCCGAAGGGGCAGTAAAAACAAAAAACCCCCTCAGCTTAGGGAAAGGGGAGAAGACACAGCCTCGCTTGAGAAGGTAAAAAAGAAAAAAAAAATAAAGGTAAATATAGAAAAGCCCCGCGCCACGCCACACCGCGCAGTGGTGATGCGCGCTCCGTCCCGCCCGCTCGCCGCCACCGCTCGGCGGCCGGTCCCCGCTGGGTCCCCGCTGGGTCCCCGCTGGGGGGGGGCCGGAGCGGCGCCGCGCCCTCGCTCCGCGTCCCGGGCGGTGTCTCAGCGCAGCCATGTCTGGCGGCGCGGGGCGGCGAGGCGCGCTCGGGCGGCGGCGCCCTCTGTGAGGCGGCGGCTGCGGACGAGCGGCGACGGCGGGCATCCATGTCGGCGGGCAGGGATTAGCGCGGCGGGCACCCAGCCGAGCGGAGGGGGCGGCCGGCCCGTCGCCCCCTTCCCGCGGGGTCTCCGGCGGGAGCGAGCCGTACCCGGCTGGCGGGGGCGGGTGGACATGGCTGACCGGAGCGCGCCGAGCTGCCACCTGCGGCTGGAGTGGGTCTACGGCTACCGGGGTCATCAGTGCCGCAACAACCTCTACTACACGGCCGCCAAAGAGATCGTCTACTTCGTGGCGGGGGTCGGCGTGGTCTACAGCCCCCGGGAGCACCGGCAGAAATTCTACCTGGGGCACCAGGACGACATCATCAGGTACCGCTGGCGCCGCGCGCCCCCGGGCCGCATCCCGCCGCGGGCTCCGAGCCGCTCCGGCCGTCCCGGCCCCGCGGCCCGGCTCGTCCCCCGCGCGCTCCTCCCTTCCCCCTGGAGCGGGGCGCGAGTGTCCCCCAGCCGCCGCCTGCCCCGGGTGCCGTCCCGGGCAGCGGCGGTGATGCGCGTCCCGCCGGTGCTGTGGGGATCCGGGGGTCGGACCGAAATACATCAAGGACAGTCAGCGCTTCCTCACCGCCCCCCCCCGCCCGGGCTTCGCCGTGGGTAGAAACAGCCTGGAAATGGCTTTTAGCTGTCGGATTTAATCAGCCGTGTTGTGTGTCCCCCACTGCCGCCGGTGTGCGGTGCCGAAACTCGTACGAGCGCCTGTGCCCGGCGCGGCAGCCCGAGGTCGCCGCTCGGTCCCCGGCCGCCCCTGAATGTCAAAGGGCCGGCGGGAGGAGAAGCATTAATCGTGTGTGTTCCCGGAGCACTTGGGCTGCGGAGGAGGTTAATCTGTAGCAGGTAGACCTTTGTCTGGTGTTTAAAAGGCGACGATTACATGGGGAATTAGTGGCCTGCCTGTAACTCACGCAACTTTTAGGGTAATCTTAAAAGAGCAGCCTTTCTTGAGAAGTTGCGGCTTCTTTTGTAGCTCAGTAGTTCATTTGGCAGGGAATGTTACCAGGCGCTGAGTCCATTAAAAAAAAAAATTACAAACTGATGTTGCAAAAGAAGTGTGCTGGTATGATTTCTTATGTCTTTCCACTCCAAGGATGCTTTTGAAAGCCTAGTGGTGTTGTGAGATCAGTAAGAGAATTTGAGGAGTATGAAGGGCAGATGTGAGCCTGAGTCATCACTCTTTCCCCTTACAGTAGGTGTCATTGCAGATGGATTTTAAATTCTGATTTCCTTTGGTCTTCCTGTTGGGGTAAGAGCTAGCAGTAGATATTTTTGTAGATCTTTTGTACGTTTACAGCACAAAATTTGTTCTTATGATGCTTAGTGCTCCAAGGCATACCTCTGTATGTGTTACTCATGAGTAACAGGTATTGCCTGTAGAGAGCAGAGTAGATGCTATGTCTTTCATTTAAGCTTTTAGACGCGCTAGAAAACTTGGTCATAATGGTCACTTTTTTCCTTTGTTTAAATCTTTTGGAAGGAATTTAAATAGTTCTGAAGTATGGCTGTGAATGTTCCTAAGAAGGGTGTCACTTTCATAGTATGTTTCTCCTTGCTGCTGAATATGTGAAGAAAACTAGTCAATGTACCACGGCAGAGTGTTGTACTGGGGGTGTTGAGTCGGGAGTTTGAATCGCTGTTATTTGCATTGCTTAATGTTTCAACATTCTCACTTTAATCCAGGAAAAACTGTTTTCTTAAGAACTGCTAGCCACCTGTGATGTCAGGTGCTGCGGGAAATCCAGATCTGCACCTTGCTATTGTGCTGAGGAAGCCGTGGCTCACCGCTCGCTCTAAGGTCACGGCAGTGTAATATTACACATTTAATACCATGCACTCAGGAGTGCTTCCGAATGACTCTGTTTCAGTAGCACTTCTTGTAGCGCAAGTATTAAATGGTTTGGCTTACAACCGGGCAAGTTTTTTGTTTGCATGTGGTAACAGTTTGTTGCTCAGTCTCTCTCAGTTTTGGTACAGTGTGCTACATTTGGCTAAAATGTGACAGAATTGTTTAGAATAGTACTAAACAAAAAAACCCCACAGAACCCAACAAATAAACAAACAAAAATCTGCTGTAGGTCAGCTAACTGGAGAGAAAGTGTGTCTGGTTTGTGTATGTACTTTGATTTGAATGATACCATGGCCCATTCAAATATAGCAGTTTCTCCTGCTGTGAATTGTACTGATGCGAGAATATAAAAGTATGATATGTTTGCAGTTAGAATTCTGGGTGGTTCTTAAATGCAAAAGCTACACAGAAATATTAGTATGCATAAAGAGGAATGCTTGATTTAGAAGCAGCCTGGCTATTTCTCATAGTACAATTAGACTTGCATTGATAAGTCTTTCTCTTGCTACTTTCTCTAAAATGCAATGTGGTACCATTTAAATGCCATCTCACACTTTTGCTGACTAAACTTGAGTATCTAAACATGTTAGTTCTTAATATTTAAAGGAGACATAGGAAGGTCAAATATTAAAAAAAAAACAAAAAAACCCCAACAACAAAACCCAAAGCCCAGAAAGCAGGTGCAAAAATTTGATTATATAATATAGTAATCAGTGTTACTAAATTTTCTCTCTGAAGGTAAACTTAACCGTTGTATTGGAAAAGAATGAATATATTTTGTGCTCAAGCAGTCTCAGCAAGTATTGTGAATGCTGACATATTTGCGATTTTTTAGTGAAAGCAATGGGAGGATTAAGTGTCTTTTTACAAGTATGGGGTCTAATTTGTGAAAGCAGTTCTGGAGTCTGAAAATCTTATGTATTTAAAGAATCAAACTTTCATGAGCCTAGCTCCATAGCTACAAGGACTAAGCATAAATATTGCTCACTACATGGTGATATTATTAGTACTCCTCATTATGAGAACTTCTATATTGTTAGCATTCTTTGGATGACATTGTAATTGTAAACATCAGTCAGGAGACAGGAACTGCAGTTCTGAAGTCAGAGACCATTTCTTTAGTAGTAGAAAACAGTATTTGAGTAATGGACAGTCATAGGAAATTTCTAACACTAGCAGTTAGTTTTTGTTCTGCTTTGAAGTTTTACCTGCTTTGGTTAATGAAACCCTGTAAATCTGTTGTAAGATTTTTTAATATGATTAGGTGTTTTAACATGATTTGTTTTCAGGATGAGTGTCTAATCTTAATTTTATTCATGGTGTCCACACCCCAAACGCCTCAGCCTCAGTTAACTGTATAGTAAGAGAACTCTCTTTCAGTGTTTTGTTCCTCAGATCTATTGAAAACTCTTTTAGATTAGAAGAGGATAATTAGGATAATTTAAAATATCTTTTATTTGTCTGTTTTGGTGGTTTGTTTGTTTGTTTTTAAATTTGAACTATCTGCATTGTAATTCATTTTTAAAAGTACTTTTCTTGCTTGCTGGTGAGCTTTTTTTTTTTTTTTTTTTTTTTTTTTTTTTTTTTTTTTTTTTTTTTATCTCTTCTGAGAATTATTTTCCAGAAATCAACTCGGTATTCTGGAGAACACAGTTACATGTTTTCAATCTCACTTGTCTCCCATTTCTTACTCATTTGAATATTTTTATGGTTGAGGTCCAGGAATGTATGCAAACACCTGTGGAAAGTGTCAGATGCAGACATGCTTTGAAAATTTGCATCTTTCAGGAGTGCAGTTAACTGAGTTTGTTATATTTTCAGGAGTAAATAAGGAGAACAATCTTGTACATAGAATCTCAGGTGACTGGCTTTGATCTGTTGCCAGCAGCATAACTTGGTTGTCTGCTGTGTTTATCTGGAAGATAAGTTCCCCTGTCCAACCATGGCTGTGTATGTATGTGTAGGAGATACTAATACTGAATGAAAATGCAAGTTATTCTTGCAAAGCTACTGGTTTCAAGTGTATGCATCACCAAACTAGCTTGTGATCTGTAGAATGATTTGCTTTTCTGGTAGCTGAGGAAGGAACAGTATCTTGGTGTTCAGGGCAGGTCTTAACTTTGTTCTCCATAATTTTATTGGTTTAGAGGATCGTAGGGTTTTTAATGTTGGCTGATCTTCCCATTTCAGAGACACCTTAGATTGTATTTAAATCTGATCTGAATTAAGATTTCAGAAGATGTCCCCTCAGAGTATTAATTTGTCATACTGTAAAACTCATACTCACATTGAGGCTACTTATTTGTCTTGGATAGCTAAAGCACATATATATATATATATATGAGAAGATTGGAAACCCTGAACTTATCCACCTTTTTAAATGGCTGTCTGCTGGCAAAAGCCTTTGGTGTCCCTAGCACAATTCTCTTTGCTGATGTGCTCCAAGGAGACTGCTGACATGCTCCAAGGTGACTTGTAGAATAATTTTTCCTTTTGATGCATTTTTTTTTTCCCTTCCTTCCCTTCCTTCCCTTCCTTCCCTTCCTTCCCTTCCTTCTTCCATACTTCTAGCCCTGTGACCATCTTTTTTTTTGCTTCAGAGTACTGGAATTTTACTGGGAATTAACTTTTCATATGGCATTGACGATACTATTGAAAAATGAAATCAAAACATAAGGTTAAACCAGTGCCTCTTTTTGAGAGCTTTAGTAGACCTGGGAAGATTTTATATTCTGCTTTTCATGATGTCTGTTCTTGATTTCCAACTTTAGCACTTGTAATTATCCTTGTGCACCATTATCTTTATGCTGACACAATACAGCCACACAACTGTGCCAGTCACAGAAAGAAGAATTATCTTTCTCTGTCAGAATGAAACAAATGAGGAAGAGTTGTTATCTGTCCTACTTTTTTAATATCCATTATGTCAGCTAGTTGGCAAATAATAGTACTTTTGTATATTCTTCCTAGAACTTAATCTCTGTGACTACTTGATTAAGATGTTTGTGGTACATTTAGGTTTTATTGCTTGAGATAGCAGCTGGCACATTTTATGCTAGTAAGAACTCTTGAATCTCTGCTGATAATGGCATTTATGGCTCTGCTATTGAGCAACTCTAGGCTGTGTCTAAGTTAATTTCCCTTCTCGTCTGAAGTCTGTATATTTCTCCTTGTCTTGGACTAAGTTGGGGGAAAGAAATCATGCCTCATCTGCCCTAGGACTCATGCAGTGTTCTGCTTTTAGGGCAAACATAACTTAAAAGATTATTCAGAAGCCATTGAAATTCTTCATTATTAGGAATTCTAGTAACAGAAACTAACCAATACCATGCTACAAAGACAGAGGAGAAATAAATGGTTGTACTTTCAGTTTAGTTAAAACTTGGTTCTTTTCCACCTTTGTGCCCCTCTGTATCCAAGACTGTAGAGAGGAAAGTTGCATGTTTACAGAGAGCAGAGGTATATGCAAGAC